CCATGGTCCACATCAACGAAGTCGGCACCACAAGTTGCACATGCAAGCAAACACCGCACACTACATACGCATAAGCGGGCGTACCTGCCTAGGCTATCTTTCCTGCATGCGTGTGCAGTTACACTATCCCCCATGTCCTACCTTCTCTACCTTATTCACGACGCTAAACCTTTACGTATGAACAAACACCAGCCTTCGGTGTCGTTGGAGTACCCACAGTCTTCAAGCATGCATAAGCCGATCCGTCGTTGTTCAGGTACCAGGTGTTAAAGCTCTTGCACCTTGTGTCGGAGTTGCAACGGCTGATGGCATCTGTTAGGCTAAGCTGAACACAGTAAATGTCGTCTCCGAAATGATCCTGGTCCGCTGCCAGTTTGTAACCCGGGACTTGAGCACAGGCTGCAGGCCGCAAGTGTAACCGGGACAAAGCAAGTCGGGATGATGATTGAGTTTGCGAGCGATTGCAATATGAATTGGACGTTCATCGGTACAGCCGTTGGGGCCCAGCTAATAAACTCGCCTATACTAAATCCAACAACACAATTAACTTTTCTTTCCGAAATGAACATTTCGCAGACGTATCTTAATAATCCCTCGTGCAATCCGTGTATTCTAGCGCAGCTTAATCCTATCCTGGCCGTGCGTGTTCCTGTATGTATGTTCTACTCCACGTAGGTTAGATGTCATTTGTTTACAGGAGACACATCATATGGGAGATGGAGACCTGACAATTCTCACTAGAGAATTGCAATTCGCGGCTCAGAAAATAGGGATACCGGGATGGGATATAATAGCACAATCCCCCACGACCAATGCCCGGACGGCTGGAGTGTTAGTGCTAGTGCGCAAAGATCTTTATCGCGACTTTAAAATAATACAAACACCGGCACGACTACTTCCGGCTAACATTCCCCAAGGCCGTAGCGCGTCGGTTTCGTTCACGTGGTGTGGTCACCGTATTCATTTGATTAATTTGTACCTCATGACATCTAGTTACTCGATAGATCAGAGGAAGGCGTGTGTGCATTCTCTTGGCGATGTGGTAAATAGGATAGGACAGGATGATCATTTGCTTTGGGCTGGAGATTTTAATTTTGTCCATAATCCGATGCTAGATTCCACCACAGGAGAAGGGAGTAGACCCGCGGACTTATCCTTAGCCAAGGCTTTCTCCGAATGCTGCCCGGATATGGTAGACACATATCGCTACCTCCACCCTACCCGTCGCGACCTTTCGTTTTTCTATAAAACAAGTGTGTCGGGAGGGTCACGTCTTGATCGAATCTATACTTCCACAAACCTCACCCCCTTCATCGCTTCCTCTACCATTCCAGTGTGCACTTCGACAGACCATCGTTTAGCTATTATTGCTCTTTTACCTCGTCTTGTGAGAAAGCGTGGTCCAGGCCTTCCAAGGCTACACACGCATTTCTTAGATTTTCCTGACTTGAAGGGAAGCTTCTTGCAATGGATTGGTGATGAGTGTGCGCAGAGACCCGCTGA